CGGGGCCGCAGTCGGGAGGAGGAGGAGGCGGCGATGGAGGGCCTGGCCGGGTACGTGTACAAGGCGGCGAGCGAGGGGCGAGTGCTGACCCTGGCCGCGCTGCTCCTCAACCGCTCCGAGAGCGACATCAAGTACCTGCTGGGGTACGTCAGCCAGCACGGCGGGCAGCGCTCCACGCCGCTCATCATCGCCGCCCGAAACGGCCACACCAAGGTGGTCCGCCTGCTCCTCGAGCACTACCGCGTGCAGACCCAGCAGACCGGCACGGTCCGCTTTGACGGGTACGTAGAGCTCGCTGACGCCCGGCCCTGCCCCGGCCAGGCCTCGGTGACGGTACCGGCACGGCACAGGGGCTCAGGGCCGCTCACCCAAAGGGCATTGGGAAAGTTGCTTTATTAGCCATAAAAATGCCTTTGCTGTTTGAGGTCCCGCACATGGTGGTGCTTTACGAGCCGTAAATGCCCTTCTGAGACCTCCCACCTGAAACCGCAGGCAGAATAATACTCGCCACAGCCTAGAGAGCCCCCGTCGAGTTTCCCCTCAGCGAGTGGGTCACTTCATATTCTCTCCCGCTGTGCCAAAACGGCCTTTTCTGTGACATCGCTGGCTGCCACGGGTGACAGCAGGCGTGGGGTCAGGGTAGGGTGGTACCTCCACACCGAGAGCCAAACCTTTATTTACTCAAATGGAGGTGTTTTCAGCGTCCAGCCCTGACATCCCAAGGAACGTCCCTTCCTCACCACAGGGCGCCGATGTATGGGGTGGCTGGGAGCGAAACGTGACATTTTAGGATGGGAGGGGAAGAAAGGGAGGGCAGGGGGTGCCTGGCGTTCACCTGGGAGCCGGCCGGGGCGGCAGCGCTGACGCTGCTGTTTGTGAAGAAGCCTGGCAGTGGTTTCCAGGCGCATTGTCCCTGGGCGGCGTGCTGCGGCGCCAGAAGGCGGGAGGAATGTTTCCAAAATCTCCCAGCAGCGCTCATGAAGTTCTTGCCCGTACGTCAGTCTTAAATCTGAGGCTGACTAATCGCGAAGGTGGATTGGTCTTTTGAACAGCTTCAGGTTTTTCGGGTAGCTGGCAGAGAGAGGAGAGCTCGCATCAGATACTGAGCGGGAGGGATCGTAATGGGTCCTCGCGGATATCTTTCATCTGGCTCCTGCTTGATGAGCTGGAGTCGTGCCTGTGCAGCTCCACCTGGCCCAGGGAAAGACCGGCTTGGTTTTTGCATGCCGAATGACGGGGAAGGAACCGACTTCCCTATGTGGTTTGTGTTTTTTTTTTTTTTTTCTTTCTTCCTCCTCTCTTCCAGCCCTTTTTTCCCACAAGTACAAACTGGTCAGGAATACCTAGGGTGAGGTCTGCCCTGAGTTCAGTTAAAGGAAGGGCCTCTGTTGACAGAAAGCGATAGGAAGGGCTGTCAGCCCCTCCTCTGCTGCTGAATTTTCTCGTTTCTCAAGCTGCGCCTTGATGGGACGGCGATCTGCTTGCCCGAGCCTCTGCCTGGTACAGATTAAAGGAGGTGTTGTCTGAGACACAATGGGCGCAGTGGGAGCCGCAGCCTGGTGAGGAGAGAGGAGGCATGTGATCCCCGCGGTGGTGGCGTTCTTCTTGAGATAAGGTGGCACAGCAGCTCCGCTTGTTTGGCCTTCAGGCTTTTGACTTCTAAAAATGTACATGTAGTGCACCAGTAAATCACCTCGTGTTCCGTAACAAATCCCAGGCCCTGACTTCCCTCCTGTTTTAATATAAAAGTATTTTAATGTGATTATTTACAAAATAAGGAACTTCTTGCTGTGAGTAATGGTGTAGGCATCTCTGCATGCCAGAGCTCTTAAATGACCTCTAAAGAGTTGTCCAGAGGTGTTGGATTTACAAACGGCCACACAACCGTTCCCATTGAGCAACGTGACAGCTTCATAAAATGATAACAATCACTGTTAAAATAAAGTCGGTGTCTTGTGATATTTTAACTTTGGAAAACGTGATTGTTTGGGCATAGGGAAATATGATACTTGTTCCTCCTCTGTGATTTGGGCCGTGCCTTGAGTGTGCATTAACTGCAGTGTGGATGCCGCCTGTTTCTACATTTAGGTGCTACTTCAAAAACCAGGGGAATGGAGAGGACATCACCCTTTATCTTTGTAGTTACACAACCTGCTGGATTTGGGAATGAAAACAGTTTAAAAAACTGACGCTTTGCTAAAGTTAACTGTCCCCTCATTTACGAGTGCCAGCAAGCTGTCTACAAGGCCATGATGTAAACCAGATCGCTGAAACTGTCCAGCTCAGGAGAACTTCTGCTTTTTAATTTCTTTTTTTTTTTTTTTTTTATTATTCCTGGAGTTCCATTTGTGTAACCAGACTGCTGGTCTGGTTTATGGTGCGGTCTCTTGAACAAGAAGTGTCGGCGCAGCGGAAGCGATGGCAATTTTGCAGCTCAGGAAGGGAGAAGTAGTGAAGTGATACGAAATTCTTAAGCCAGCTTTGCTGCCAGGACCAGTGTGTTGTATAGCTGCACTGTTATTCATGTCCGAGTTTGGCTTTTTGTGTCAATATATGAATTTCAGGTTTCCTCTCTTTCTTTCACGTGTCAGTTTCTGGCACAAGGGATCAAAGAAGGGGTAATTCTTGTAACTATTCCTCCCGAGACCTCGAGAGGCTGAGGGCTGGAGCTTGCAGGTAGGATCTTCAAAGCAGCCCGGGAAGTACCAGTGCAAAATGTGGTCAAATCCACTGGCTGCTTTGAAATTTCAACTTCCAACGCTTCTTCCTTCGGGAGGTTTGTGTGCTTGATAAGTTCTTTTACCTTGGCTATCGCGGTAAGTTCCTTCAAGTCCAAAAATAGGATGGCTATAAAATATCTTACCGTGGCTGGGTTTGTACGTGCCTGCTGCCTGTAGAAGATGCTTTTGAAAGAGCATCAGTTTAACTGTTTGTTTGTGTCTTTACATTTTTAGCTTTGTCATTGACGGAGCCACAGCTCTCTGGTGTGCTGCCGGAGCCGGCCACTTCGAAGTAGTCAAATTGCTGGTGAGTCACGGCGCCAATGTGAATCACACTACAGTGACCAATTCGACTCCCTTGAGGGCTGCGTGTTTCGACGGCAGGCTGGACATTGTGAAATACCTGGTAGAAAACAATGCCAACATCAGCATTGCCAACAAATACGACAACACTTGCCTTATGATTGCGGCTTACAAAGGCCACACGGACGTGGTGAGGTACCTCCTCGAGCAGCATGCCGATCCCAACGCCAAAGCCCACTGCGGTGCCACGGCGTTGCACTTCGCGGCCGAAGCCGGCCACTTGGAAATCGTGAGGGAACTGGTCAAGTGGAAGGCGGCGATGATGGTGAACGGCCATGGGATGACTCCACTGAAAGTCGCTGCCGAGAGCTGCAAGGCCGATGTTGTAGAGCTGCTGCTCGCTCACGCCGACTGTGACAGGAGAAGCCGGATTGAAGCTCTGGAACTTCTGGGTGCCTCATTTGCAAATGACAGAGAAAACTATGATATAATAAAGACTTACCACTATTTATATTTAGCCATGCTGGAGAGGTACCGAGACAGCGAGAACATAATTGAAAAAGAAGTTCTTCCACAAATCGAAGCTTATGGAAACAGGACTGAATGCAGGACTCCTCAGGAATTAGAGTCTATTAGGCAGGACAGAGATGCCCTTCACATGGAAGGCCTCATTGTGCGAGAAAGAATTCTGGGCTCGGACAATATCGATGTTTCTCACCCCATTATTTACCGGGGGGCTGTGTATGCAGATAACATGGAGTTTGAACAGTGTATCAAGCTATGGCTCCATGCGTTGCATCTCAGGCAAAAAGGCAACAGGAACACTCATAAGGACCTCCTGAGGTTTGCTCAAGTCTTTTCTCAGATGATACACTTAAACGAGCCCGTTAAGGCCAAGGACATCGAGAGCGTTCTGAGGTGCAGCGTCTTGGAAATAGAACAAGGCATGTCCCGGATCAAAACCACCCAGGACTCTGATGTCCACACAGCCATGGACAACTACGAATGCAACATTTTTACCTTTCTCTACTTAGTCTGCATCTCTACCAAAACTCAGTGCAGTGAGGAGGATCAGTCACGAATCAACAAACAGATCTATAACCTGATTCACCTCGATCCCAGAACTCGGGATGGCTCCAGTTTGCTGCATCACGCTGTCAATTCCAGTACACCGGTTGACGACTTCCACACGAATGATGTCTGCAGCTTTCCTAACGCACTTGTCACAAAACTCTTGCTAGATTGTGGTGCTGACGTGAACGCCGTGGACAACGAAGGAAACAGTCCGCTCCACATCATCGTCCAATACCACAGGCCCATCAGTGACTTCTTGACATTGCATTCCATCATCATTAGCCTGGTGGAGGCTGGTGCTCATACAGACATGACGAATAAGCAGAAGAAAACCCCTCTTGATAAAAGTACAACAGGGGTGTCTGAAATACTCCTTAAAACTCAAATGAAGCTGAGTCTCAAGTGCCTGGCTGCCCGAGCAGTACGGATCTATAACATCAGCTACCAAAACCAGATCCCCAGAACTCTGGAAGAATTTGTGAAGTTTCACTAGGCTACATAAAATCTTTCGTGGTGGTGCTATCCCGGGACAACATCAGTTGCAGACAGCAGAATACATATGTGTACATGGAGTTGTTTTTCTCTATTCTTTTGTTTTTGGGTTCCTCTGGATTCAGTCTGCAGCCTCAGTTCTCATGCAGATCTTTGCGGTGGGTGGGGGGAAGCCACATCCTTTTCCTGTAGTCAAAATCTGATGTTTGAGATTTTGGTCATTTCTTTTGATTAAAAGAATTGCTTCATTATCTCTTGCTTTCATAAACAAAATGAAAAGAATCCCGATGTAACTTGTGCAGAATGTTCTGTTTCCAATTCACATCTTCCCTTACAATTTGCAGCCGAATGCTTTAAGCAGTTATTTACAAAGGCGCCTCTGCAAGCCCGTGTCACCGTGCTACCGAGGCAAATTTTAAAACTTGTTGGCCTCAGGTGGGAAAGAACAATTGCAAATTATCTGGTAGTTGGTTAAAAGTGAAGTCTCAACATACAGAGCTGTCCGTTGCTCTCATACCTCACCATCTTTTTATGCCTTTCAGTTAATGCTGAAGATGTTGATAACATTTTAATTTTTGGTTTTTTAATTACATTTTGAACAGCCGTTATCAACAGCTACAGACATATGGCATGCTCTGTTAGGAAATACAGGTTTAAATTCAGCTATGGTATGTTCATCTAATAATGGTTGAAATATCAAGCTCTTAGTGTACACTACTGCAGTAAGTATTGAATAACCTTCGAAAAAGGAACTTGCACATTGACCGAAATGAACCGGAGTCATGGTTTCCTTTTGTGTAGCTGAGTTGCTCATATATAAAAATCATGCATGGATACCTAGAAAATTGATAGGGTATTTGTGTTTGTGTGTGTCCCAACATTTCAAAATGCTTTTAACTTGGGTTTTTTTTTTTTGTTCTTTCGATGATCAACATGCACCTTTTTGACTCAAAGTATGTAAACACTGCACTCTTGGATTCCAGATGCTGTATCTTCCTAATGGAGTAGTCTGTCGCCAAAGAGAGTCTTCCTTTGGAGCGGGATACTGCTTGAAACCGGCTTTTCCGATAAGTGTGGAGTCTGTGCCTCCCTGAATTGGACTTGAGGATTTTTCATGATTTTTACTCCTTTCATTATGAAAATCTCTATTAAAACTGATTTTTAAAAAATTGTCCTATCGTAAGATCTTTTATGATAAGCAACTGATTGTATAATACCGCCGTTGCTTGAGAAAGTACTTCTCCTTGGTAGAAGTTGCAGATACTCCGACAGTAAAATGTCACTTGTTTTGACAGGCTACTGAAAACTCGGTTTATTTTAAATGCAGCTTTTTAACTGTCAGATGATGAAAGAATGTTCTGTAGGTTTTTTTTAAACAATCTGGGTAGAACTTTAAGGCGAGATTTGGGCACACGTTTCTATTTGTATTGCAAATAAATAAACATTGAATGTGGAATTAGCTTGTAACTCTTTAATTTTTTTGTCTAGTGCCGAGCAGAATAGTGCTGCTTAGGTTGTATGGTGCTGTAAGTGCTGCCTGTTGCGGTTCCTTCAAGGGAAAAGCTTTAGAAATAACCGTGTCTTCGAAGCTGCAAGCTTTACTCTGCTAGAAACCAGCTCCTAAAATGAAAAACGTGTCTGTCGCTTGTATCTCAGGTAGGTTGGGCTACTGCACTTTAAAAACTCTCGCAGTCGAAGGTCAGGCAAAATGGTAAAGCCAAATTCAGCCACCCCGGGGCCTTAATGCAGCGAGTGGGTGTTGGCAAACGGGTGGGGAGGTGTTGGTGCTTCTGGAAGTTGTTACTCTAAATGTCTTCTTCCTGCGCGCCGAGCTGTGTCCCGCTCATCAGGAAAGCCGCGGTTTTGTAGTTTGCTGAGAGTTTGGGGTGGCAATTTCTAGCCTGGTTGTTGGAAACGCAAAATGCCGTTTAAATCGCTGGAGCTCAGCGCAGAACAGGGGAATGCGTTTCGTGCATTCCGTCTCCCATTTTGGGATTGTGTCTTGTTAACTGCTAAAGCTTTGAACCTGAAACTCAAACAACTCGAGAGCACACACCACGTGACTGTTGTTTAGCTAGTAAAGTTGCTGGGAGCTGACTCAGATAAAATTAACCAATATGTGAATTGGTGTGTATGTGTTACAGGAAAAAAGTCTGTTATACTGTGCCACGTGCGTCAGAGCTCCGATGCCTTGCTGTTCCTTTTCACCCTTGCACACGTGTAATTCCTGGAGTCCGTGTAGTTAAAACAGAGGCAGTGGTCCTTGAGTCTTGTTTGCCTCGGGGGAGCGGGGGGAAGGAGGGGTGACGGCCGCACACGTGCAGTGACTCGCACTGCTTGCTGTGTAACCGAGCGGTCTGGATTGGAAATAATGTGGTGGGTTTTTGTTTTTTTTTTTTTTTTTCTCAGGACCTGTTTCTGACTTGGAGTAATCTTAAGTGTCATGTTCTTGTGAAATAGCTGTATAAAACCATTCTTGGAACAAATGTGCATGCTTGAAATATCTGCAGGTAATAATAAGGTGAAGGAAGCTGCTCCTCCCACGATTCTGCTTTTTTAATAAGAAAAAAAAAAGTTACACCAAACAATTTTGTGGAAAAGCTGCTTCTTCCTCCCTTCCTGTAGCTTTGCTCTGATCCTTTCCCGCTTTTGGCTCCGTTGCAGGATGTTTGCTGAGGTCCTGCTTTGTTTGTGCCGCTCCTGGGATGATTTCAGTACGTGAAGACCTGAAGAGAGAGGATGCTGTTACCCAGAAGCAGCAATAAAACTTCTTGTCAGTAGATTACAAAGCGCTTTGTATACAGAGGGGGAAGGTCTGTGCTGTGGGAGGAGCGGCCGATGCTAAAGCCGCTCCTGTCTCAGGTGTGGTCCCTCTTTGTCCCGTTCCTGATGAAGACGGGTTCCTGCTTGTCTGCAGCCCAGGAAGGTGGCATCACGCGTGTGTTGTTCTGCTGCCTTTGCCGTGGCAGTAAAAGCTTTTGGCCAAAGGATAGGAAAAAAATTCCGGTGGGTGCCTGTTTGTGCACGCCTGTGGGTGCAGCAGAGGCCATGGCGGCTCTTGGCATCCCGGGACCTTCCCTCTCCTTACTCTGCTCTTTTTTCAAGCATTAAAAGCTGAAAGAGTGCGCTCGCTGCCTTTGTGGGAGTTATTTAAAAGCTCTTGATAAAAATCTGTACAAACCCCACAGGTGCTCCTTTCACCGAGGAAAAAGGAGCTGAGTGACGTCCCCTCTGCCAGGGACCAGGCGCGTGCGTGCCCGTAGGTGGTGGTCTGCTATTTATAGGGCTGGCTCTGCGCAGAGAGCTGCTGTTGGAGAGCAGACTGGCTTTTAAAAATACACCTTCCCGAGGCCAGCCCACGCTCGGTGGGATGCAAACCCTTGGCAAAGCCGAATTCTCGCTCCCTCTGTCCGGAGGGATGCTCACGGGGAGGTGAGCCCAAGCAGAAGGGCAGTGCCACCACACACGGCATTTCACGTGCTCAACTTTGGGGCCAGCTACGCTTAAACCGTGGTCCTTAGGTGGTGGTGAGAGCCCAAGCTGGTTCTGGCATCATGCAGCTGCATGAAAATCTGAGTTTTCCACCTGTTTATTCCCCATTCATCCCGGCGGATGTAAACGCTGCTCAGCTCTGCCCCAGAGCCTCAGCATCAGCAAGCAGGGGAAAGCACTTGGCTTAGTAAAGAAAACTGTTTCCTGAAAACGAGACACTTTTATTTTTTTCAAACGATGGGACTCCAGTTTTGTGTTCGGCAGGGATTGCACACCAGCCCCGTCACTGTCGCCGCTGCTGCGCGGCGCCCTGTGCCAGCCCCGAGCGGGAGCGGTGGCTCTGTGGGGACACCCCTGCCTTGAGCCCCGTCCCCCCATGTCAGCGGTACCCGTTTGCTCTGGGCCGTCCCCCCGCTCCCCCCCGCGCTCACACCATGGTTTGCCGCGTCAGGCCCTGGCCACCCTGTTCAGGATATGTCAAGGTGCACAATGAGTTAACCCTCTTTACATTTTAACCCGCAGTCAGAGAAGTGCTGATGCTTTGATGCCCAGTTTAGGTAACAGAATCATAGAATTGTTTGGGTTGGAAGGGACCTTTAAGATCATCAAGTCCAACCATCAACTCAACACTGCCAAACCCACTGCTAAACCACGTCCCTCAGCACCACGGCTGCCTGTCTACCTCCAGGGATGGCAACTCCACCACTTCCCTGGGCAGCCTGTTCCAGGGCTTGAGGACCCTTTCTGTGAAGAACTTTTTCCTAATATCCAATCTAAACCTCCCCTGGCGCAACTTAAGGCCATTTCCTCTTGTCTTATCACTTGTTACTAGCAAGAAAGGGTTGACCCCCACGTGTCTACACCCTCCTGTCAGGGAGCTGTAGAGAGCGAGAAGGTCTCCCCTCAGCCTCCTTTACTCCAGGCTGAACACCCCCAGGTCCCTCAGCCGCTCCTCATCAGACGTGTGCTCCAGACCCCTCACCAGCTCCGTTGGCCTTCTCTGGACACACTTCAGCACCTCTATGTCTGTCTTGTAGTGATGGGCCCAACTGAACACAGCACTCGAGGTGGGGCCTCACCAGTGCCCAGTACAGGGGGACGATCACTGCCCTGGTCCTGCTCACCACACTATTCCTGACACAGGCCAGGGTGCCATTGGCCTTGGACCTGGGCACCCTGCTGGCTCATATTCAGCATGTTGGCCCTCAGGCCAACATGACCCCCAGGTCCTTCTCCACCAGGCAGCTTTCCGGCCACTCTGCCCCAAGCCTGTAGCATCCACGGGGTTGTTGTGACCCAAGTGCAGGACCTGGCACTTGGCCTTGTTGACCTTCATACCACTGGCCTCAGCCCATTGATCCAGCCTGGCCAGATCCCTCTGAAGAGCCTTCCTACCCTCACGTGGGTTGACACTCCCACCTAACTTGGTGTCATCTGCAAACTTACTGAGGGTGCACTCGATCTCCTTGTCCAGGTTGTTGATGAAGATATTAAAGAGAACTGGCCCCA